TGACACAGAATCTCTCCCTCACCAAACATCAGCCACACTCCTCTGAGCTCTCTTCCCACTCCTTCGCCTTGACTTTGACCTTCATGCCATCCTTGGAGCCCCATTGAATCAGTTTAGAGAAAATCCCCCATCCTTGACATCTGGCCAGCTTGGTCTCCCATAAGCAAAAATCTTCTTACATGGTTTAGCAAGACATTTCCTACCTTTAATTTATCCTCCTCCTCAGTAATTGTCCGTCTACTGATGTCCTCAACCCACTCTTTGGCTATCAGTTCTTACTTTTGTTGTATTTGGATTTGAACCCATTCTCTCCCCCACTATAGTCCTGAATAAAGTCTTCCTTACCACTTTAATAAGTGTCAGAATCATTTTTAACACAGATTACAGTTTCAATATTGAGGTTTTTAAAAGAACAGTGCTTAATGTGTACCACGGTGTTCTTTGTTCTAAATGCTAAACCTATTCCTCATAAAAACCCAGCGAGGCAGTGCATGGTTATTATCTTTGATTTATGGATGAAACTGGGGCCCTAGAGGTTACTTACTTACCTGGGCATACAGAGACAGAGCTGGAAAGTAGAACTGATATTCCACCCTGAGGAGGCTGCCCCTGAACCCATGACCTTGAGCACATGGCCAAACTGCCCTTGCAAGTAGGCTGGGTGTCTACTCTGTCAACACTTTAAATCAAGACTCTAATTTTAAGCTGCACACAGGCCTCTCCTCAGGGTAATGAGTCAAGCAGGGCCCCAAGTCTCCAGACACATGGTGAGTCTGTGCCTAGTCATCGCCATCTAGAAAACGCAAATAGAAGCAAAAAGGAAAAAAAATCTGAGTTTTTATGAAGGATCTCTTCGGTTTGAAAAAGAAAGAAGGGAAAGAGGAAAGGAAGAGGAGGAGAGGATAAGGAAAGGGGAGAGAAACCATGCAGGACACACAGGCACACACACACACACACACACACACACACACACACACACACACACACACCCTCTGCAGCAAGCGTTTATTCAGCCTGAGGGACAGCCATGTGCAACCTCATTTTAATTTTGTTTGTTTGTATTGGTGCAGTTTTGGGATACATGTGCTTATCATGGTGAGCTGGCACATGTGCCTAACAAGATTTAATTCTCTTTTGCCCCTACCATTCCCATCTCTTCCTGCCCCTTCCAACTCTTGGTCTCCTTCCCGTTTACAAAAGCTCTACTCCCACTTTTTTCTTTAACTTTCCATCCCCTTTCCCTCTTTCCTTCCCCTTCCTCTATCTCTTGTTCCTCTTCTCATTTGAAAAAAATATACTTATTATCTTTTAGTTTGCTCTTTATTCATATTTGAAATTTCTCCTTTAAGAGAAACCTTGTGATATTATTTGTATGACTGATTTATTTCTCTTATGGGCTCAAGGCCCATCCTCACTGTTGGAAGTTATTAAATCTTATCATAATGAGCTCTCTTTGCTAATAAAAATGTAGACACCTAACCAAGTAATCGCACTTAGAAAATCTGCTCAGCTCACAGACTTCTACTATTTGGTGGAGGAAAGGGGCTGGGGAGTGCATTGAGAGCTTGGGGAAGTCTCTCTGGACTAATGGAGATGCTGTGATGATTCCATTAGCAGCTATGTTTGAGACTTATGTTGATTTTTTAACTTACTAATAAATTAAGAGATTGCAAGTTAACAGGTGCTAGTCAAAAAATCTGGACTTTTCTTCTTGCATTGATGGATAATTCGACTTCTATTAACAAAACAAAATTAAAAATGCTTTCAAAGTTAAACTGCCATACTCAGCTGTGGGTGGGAAATAGAAATAAACTCATCAAATGAGTTCTGAGAATTTTATGAAGTCCTCTTCACCGAAATCTTTTAACTTTCCGTTGCTGAACTTTGGGCCATTCATATTTTACAGTCCTATCTGGCAAACTAGATTTCTTGGCTCCAGCTCCTCAACACAAGGACAGGTTGCACTCTTAGCTTTAGGGTGCCTGCCAGATGTCCAGTCTTGGTTTAACCGTCTAAACCTGAATAACAGATATACACAGTTTAATAAATAAGATACTATCATTTTCTTCTAAAAACAATTGTGTTTTTATTAATATTTCATGTCATGCATTAAAATTTCCTATTAGTTCAGAATTTGGCAGGGCTTTAACAATGGTTATTTCAGAGGAAAAGGATCAACTTTTTTACATAGACCCTGCTCCACATCCTATGAGGTAAACAAAAAAGAACTTTTCCCCTTCCCTTCTAGGTCTTGCCATGGTTGTGAATATATGGGGCATTTATGCAAGTAATAATGGTACAAAACAGTCATGAAAATTATAATACAAAGGATAAAGACAACCAATTTGCAGGAGCTGTTTGTTTTTTGTTTTTGAGATAAAACTCACTATGCATTTCAGGCTGGCCTTGAACTCAATATGTTGCCTGGGCTGGCCTTGAACTCAGGGTGATTTTCCTGCCTCAACCTCCTTAGTGCTGGGATTACCGGTGTGCACCACCGTGCCCAGCAAGGTGCTATGTTTTCTTTGTTTTTGTTTTTTGAAATAAACTTTAACTTGAAGGCTTTAGAGGGCTTCAAAAAGAAGTTTGGTTCGAGTGGAGCCTTGAAGACTGGTAGGGTTTTGGGAAATGAGACGGGCAGACACTATGTCTGTAGGAAGGTTTGGTAAACAGTGGTGTGGGAGAGGGCCAAGGGAAAGCAAAGATTTTCACTGTGGGCACAGAAAGTGACTGCAAGGTAAAATTCAAGTAAAGAAAAACACAATCAAAACCTAGAAGCTTAGTTTGAATGAGCAGAAAGCAGTCAAGACCAGGGATAGGAAAATAGTCAACCCCTTAATAAGAATACTGAACCAGATGCACCAGTTTGTGGGAGAAAATAAGTTCAATTCACCATTAGAAATCATGTCATAGTAGAGCAGTCAAATAACATTTTTTAAAATGCATTTTTAAAGTCTGGGCCTGCCCAGATTGACTGCTTTATTTTGGCCTTCTATAGCCTGAGCTGATAATACGGTTTGATACTATCCATCACTTGAATGCTAGAGATAGAAAAGTCTTAATAGTCATATAATCCATTGTGCCAATGAGTTAATTTGAGGTCCAGAAAAATTAAATGATTAGCCTGAAGTAATATAGCCTACAATGATACAGATACTGTTTAAGTACATTCATCCATTATTTTATCCATATACCTTAAGTGTAAATCCCAGATGATAGTGAACAGATTTGCAAAACTTTATCTCACTTTTGCGTACCTCCATCTCCTCACCCAGTCTCCAATTCATCACTCTCATATAATAATATACCCCATTCTTAATGTGTTTAGAATTTATACAATCACATACAAACCCATCTGTTTCATACGTACATAAGCACATGAAGTGTTTTAGGTTAACGTTTTACAAAACTGAAAATGTATAGTCTTTCCTACACCTTACTAAACCATGTGTTGGAGAAATCCTTGCCAAGTGAAAAGCCAGAGTCTAACTAGTTATTTATTGTAATAGTTGCTTAATATGTGATAGTAGGAATATGTCATGATACACCCCAGCATTCTCCTTATTCACCCCAGCAATCCTCCATGAGGATTGATTTGCTTCTAGTTTTGCTTCTATAAGTAGTACTTAAACAAATATACTTATCCTCATATCTATACATGCTGGTATTTTATTTCTGTTGATAAGACTTGGTGCCACTGGGTCAAAGAAATGTATATTTATTGTTTGTTTGTTTGTCTGTCTTTTTGAGACAGGGTCTCACTATGAAGTTCAAGATGATCTTGAGCTCACTTTGTAACCCAGGCTGGCCTCATACTCCCAGTGATCCTCCTGCCTCAGTCTTCCAAGTACTGGATTACAGACATGCACCACCATGCACAGCCTTTGCATTTTTAATTTTAAAAAATAAACTCCTTCCTCAACAAAGCTGTAGCGATACACATATGTTCTTAAAATTAATAAAAATTCTCTAAATAGGGCTTCTTAGACCATAGTGTTGTCTTTTCTTACACTTTTTACAAGTTCAATTGTTGTAAAGAAAGACTTCACTGTTAATTTGTGCTTATTTGATACAGAAGAATTTAATCTCCTTTACACAAACCTGCTGGTTATTTTAATTTCTCAGTGTGTAAGCTGCATTTTCATGCTCTTCATGGGTTTTTTTCCAATAGAAAGGTTTCCTTTTAATTTTTAAGAGTTCTTCCTATGTTATAGATATTTTTCTTGTCCTCTATGACATAGAACATTTTTTCTCTATTTTATCTAATCTATTTTATTTTCATTGTATCTTTTTCCATGCAAAAGTTTTGCATTTCAGTCAAATTTTCTAATATAGTTTCTGCCTCATCAAAAAAAAAGCCACTCACCCCTTCCCCTGGATTATCCTGATGGTTTCTAGATTTTCTTACATGGTTTTAGGTTTATCTATTTTACTGTTTGACCTTGGATCCATCTAACTTTACTCTGGAACTGGTATAAAATAAAATCTAATTTGCTTTGTTTTGTTTTTCCAGATGAACAGTTTACTATCCTCTTATTTTAAATAACCCATACTTTGTCACTAAAGTGAAAAACTTCTTTTATCGTGTCTTAAATCCTCCTTTATTTTGGGTCTGTTTCTTAATATTCTATTTCAGTTACTATTTATCTGTTCAGGTCTACTTCAGTACTTACTGATTTATTTACTGTATCTTTACAAGATATTCCAATTTCTGGCAAATTGGATTACACAAATGACCTTTGAGGCATTTATCAAATATAGGTGCTTACATTAAAATCTATTTCTAGATAGCAGTGATATGCAAGCAGAAATTAATATATCAAAATAATGGTTGTAAAATTAAATTTTTTTCAAAATCTTTCTTCCCACGGTCTATTTTCCATCAACAAATTGAAAATAAAAGTTTTAATGTGTTTATGTTATCTTATAAAAATGGCAATTTGCTATACTACTAGTTCTATGATGTATCATATTAATGGCACTATTTTTCTGATTCCCAGGCTGGTTATTCCGAAGAATCATCCCTGACTGCATCTTTACCCTGAGTTCTGACCAATTCCCAGTAGAAACACTACTCAAGGGAGAGCGAGTCCTTCGAGAAAAATTCCATGGGGACTGTACCTGACCCTCTGAGATCCACAAAAGTTTCCCTGACTGCAGCTGCTGGAAAGGAAGAGGCTGGAGAGCTGCAGGCTGCCTCAGCCCAGCACCAACAGACTCACCTGGCTAAAGGCACCAATGGCCTTGAAGGCTCCTCCACGGAATCCAGCCTCCATCCCAGAGCAGCTGCCAGGGCTCTGATGCAGGCTTTTGAGCATGACACCTCCCAGCCAGACATGTCTTCTCCTGGTGTCTTTAATGAGGTAGACAAGGCATCTCCCACACACAACTCTCCTGGTGATTCCCAACTGTCAGGAAGCAGTGAGCCCATAGCACCAGCCCCAAGTCCTATAGGTGGAAAAGATCTGATACACACACCACTGACAATGCCAGCCCACCAACACACTCACCAGGCCACCCCAGGTCATCAACCCAGTGCACCTGAAGAACCCTTGGTAACATCACAGAAAACCCCAAATGGAGAACAACTTGAGAGGTCAAGCTGTCCTGTACTGGGAACCAGTGGCTGCAGCAAAGGAGGGCTCTGTGGTTTTTCTTCTGAAGAAATCATACAGGGAATGGCACAGACTCCAAGTTCCATAGCCATGGGGTTTAGTCCTTCATCCTCTCCTGCAGGTGGACAAGAAGACAAAGGACAGCAAGCCTTCTGTGACTCCACGGCAAGGACCTGTGCACCCCCAGCAAGAGAAGATGGATGTTCAGAAAACAAAGAGCCCCCTGCCACTGCCCCCTCAGACAGCCAAGGTATGACATCTGTGACATCTTATCTACCCCACCTCACTAGCAAAGGTTTGACATGTCCTCCAGATCCAAAGAAGCAGCCATTGCCAGCATATGAGTTGTCAAAGTTCAAAGAAGCCAGCACGATGACCAGCCAAGTAGAAAGTGAGATTAAGGCAGTCCCCAGCAGGGGCCAGCAGGATGCAGAGGTGCAGGCAGTGGCGAGTGTTGAGAGCAGATCTGTCTCCACCAGCCCCAGCATCCTTACTGCATTCTTAAAGGAAGTTCCTGCCCCTGAGCTTTTGGAACAAGAGCAACTCCATGTCATTTGCCATGGCAGCGGCAATAGGAGCCATGTGTTCGAGCTCTCTAACAGCGTGTCAGCACTCCAGGAACCAGATCAGTGCCCTGGCACTATGCCACAGGTGCACATCCCGGAAGCTGAGGCTGTTTCTGCATCTGTCCAAGGGGAACATAAACCAATGACCCTACCTGAGGAAGTTCTTAAAACTACATCAATCAACATGGCCTGCAGCCACGCCCAGGATATGTGTAAAGAGGATGGGAAGTCAGCAGGAATGACCCTAGCCAGGGAAGAACCAGACTCTAGACAACTTTCAGGTACTGATTCTGGCTCCCTGAAATCTAACCCCATAGACCAGGTTTCCAGCATCGCAAGCAGTGAAGCTGAAAGTAGTTATGGTTTGGAAAAATTTGAAACCAAGCTTTCTGAGTTGGTAGTGAAAACTACAAATGATCACAAAATAGGCATAAATTGCAAACAGTCTGACTCACGCACCAGTAAAGATGACCAGTCCAGGCGTTTGGAACCCACTAATAAAGGAGGTTCAAAGGAGAGGAAGTCTGAATCTCCTCAGATAGTAAAACAGCAAGAGCCTGTCGGCACCAGTGCTGTGGATGCCAAGACACTACTGCTTAATCCTAAATCCCAAGAAAATGGAGACACGGGACCCACGCCCTCCCCACTGAAGAAGAATCAGGAGGGCATCTCAGAAGACCACAGGCAGACCAAGACAGCAACGAGCCTGAGCCTGCCGTCCGATTCCATGGGGGACTCCAGCCCAGGCTCTGGCAAGAGGACCCCTTCTCGTTCGGTCAAAGCCAGCCCACGCCGGGCCAGCCGGGTCAGCGAGTTCCTCAAAGAGCAAAAGCTTAATGTGACAGCGGCTGCTGCTCAAGTGGGGCTCACGCCAGGAGAAAAGAAAAAGCAGCTGAGCTCAGACTCCAAGCTGAAACAGTCCAAGCGCGTCAGGGACGTGGTGTGGGATGAGCAGGGCATGACCTGGGAGGTGTATGGTGCCTCCCTGGACCCGGAGTCCCTGGGAATCGCCATCCAGAACCACTTACAAAGACAAATTAAGGAACAGGAGAAATTAATCAAAACACAAGGCGATCAGGCCCGGAGATCGATTTCCTCAGACACTTCTTCAAATAAGAAGCTCAAAGGCAGACAGCAGAGTGTTTTCCAGTCCATGCTGCGGAACTTTCGTCGCCCCAACTGCTGTGTCCGTCCTGCTCCTTCTGCAGTGTTAGATTGAAGGGGAGCCCGAGGATGCGTCTGCGGTGTTCATGTGTGTCCAGCCATGCAAAGCTTACTTAGCTTCCCTCTGAGAGGCCAGGAAGGAAGAGCAAGTGTTACCCATAACGACTTGCTTTAAAAATTGTTGTGCCCTTCTACTGAAGGTCTATAAATTAAAATGCCATCTCAATCTAAAAGAGCAAGAGAAGAAAAGCAAGCTTCACTGAAGGTTTTCAACCTTAATTAAGTGAAAATAATATTCAGGGGGCTGTAAAAAATATATCATGTTGCTTATAGAAATAACATTGCCCTTATACATGTGTTGGTTTTTACTCCTGCCTCAATTTATCACATGATGGTACTTCCATTAAAAATCTTTGCTTTATATTTAAAAAAAAAAAAAAACACTACTCACAAAATCTTACACTTTGTAGTTCTGTTACAGTAAGAATGTTGTGACCACACAAAATTTAAGTAGGTGATAAGAACCATAGTGAAATACAGTTGAAACAAATTTGATATATTCCTGGCCAGATGTCAGTAAATAAAAGTATTTAAATGTATAAAATACCAAATATGAATTAGCATTTGTAAATTTCTGCAGCAACCCTTTTTATAAACCTTGTTATACATGTAAGAAAGTAATATTAGGAAAATTAACTGAACTTTTGAATATGAACACAATCAACATCAAACATGGATTTATATGTACACATGTGCCTGTGCAAAAGGTGAAATGATTCTGTGATTCTGAACAAATTAAATTCCTATTTTCTTACCCCAGAGAAAATATATGGAACTGGATTCTTGAAAAGAGTCATAAAATTAGGCATAATAGCCAATGTTATATTATCCTGAAATATTCTACTGAGAATATTACCATTCTGATAAAAATAATAAATAGCAGATTACCAAACAGTTTCTTCTGTGTCAATTAGGCAGACCTCATGAGTAATAGAAACAATAGATTAAATCTGAACTCCTGTAAACAGCATAAAATTTGTGTTTCTCTTTTGATTTGGTTCAATAGCTTTTAGTAACAAATGTAATCAACCCCAAATGGAACACAGGCTTCCTCAGATGAGACAGATATCATTGAATTGCATGTGTCTATGATCGGGACTGGAAAGGTAATTTTTGGAAATGTATTGAAATTAACAGAAACATTGTCATACCTCAGCCTTCATCTGCGGAACAGTTTTAAGAAACCATACTTGGAGCTTTGAGTGGGCCCATGTCCCCTGAGAACATAGACACAGGCATCTGCTGGAGCTTAGCTTGCCTTAATCTCCAGACAAGGAGGGTGTCCCAGGGACTGAGGAGTGCCTGCCCAGGCTGGCGACCAACAGCAGCGTGCGGGGTGGAGTACTAGACAAAAGCGGGGTGAGCCAAAGCACTAGAAAGACTTCTCTTTCTGGAGTCATTGCAGTGAGATCCCTGGGCTCCATCTTGCATGTAAAACACTTAAATGTTGGCGGTGAATGAATTCATTCCCCCAGTGGGCCAGCCAAGAGGACCTGACCATGTTTTATTTGCTTCAGAGACTCAAATGCCATTGGTACCATCAGTTCACGATGTCTGTTTTGGTTTTTCTTTTTTTCTTCAACTCAAAGAGGGGGGAAAAAGCATCATACCTGAACTTTACACCACAAGCTACACTGGGACCAACCCAAATTAATAAAATGGCTTTGATTTCTTGCAAAGCAATTTAACTGTATATGCAGCCTGCATAAGTAGACACAGTGACAGCATTGACAGCATTCTCACAGCCAGAGAATGGTAATTACAGTTGTTATATCTGGAACTTATAATGAATTGTATAATAAGGCACATTTTTCAGTTTCTTACTAATTGGCCTCTATTAAGAATGCTATCTAAAGTAGAAATTACCATCAAATTACCAATCAAATTACTATTAATGATTAGAGATTTGGTTTAAAACTCTCTTTTGGACTGAAGTACCCATCTTTCTCAGATGCCTTTATGAGGACATAATCTGTCTTTTCTCTCTCACTCTTGGGCTGTCTCCAGCCTGGCTGACACACATGCTGTGTACACACACGGTCCACCTTGTGTACACAGGGGCAGCTGTCAACAGGCCCACTCCAGATGGGCGGGCCCCAGGTAATCCTCCGCTGTGAAGTAGCTAGAACAGGATGTTCCTCATTAAAACAGAGAAGAAAGAATTCAGCATCCAGCAATAATATTTATTGTCATGAGTTTAAAGTAATCACCTGATTTATAAATAGTTATTTGAATCAGAGGCCTAAAGAGAGTTGTAGGCATTTACACCACATTAAGTAAATCAAAACTACTCATTTGATACAGTTGTGCCTCTCAAATGAAATCTTCAAGAAAAAATTCCTTGATGTTAGTAAGTTTGGTTTTCTTTGGTGCTACAACTAAATTCTTAACTTCTACAACACCCTAGAAACTGTCACAAAATAGAACAAAACCTTTCTTGTTGTGTTGTTTATTGAACCTTACAGAACTAACAGCTTGTAGAAATAGATCATCAAATGGATTAAATAAGATAGAAACCTATTTAAGATACTGTTTTGACAATAAATGCTTATTTGACATTTTTCTTTCACTTCAGTCTTCGACAGCATCACAAGTTTAGCACATTATGAGTGTTTCTTCCCTTGGGTTCATTCAGCAAGGAATTTGCAGAGTCACTTGCCTGGCAGGGCCTATGAGCTTCCTTAGTTTTTCCTTGCTTTACCTACATTGCACATATTGAGTTGAAAGTCATTTGGTTTCCCCTAATAGCTTTTGCATATGACTTTGTCCTTTTTAATGTATCTTTGTTTCTAAAATATATGTAAGAAATACTTTATTAAATCAAGATATAGAAAGAAATACTTTATTAAATCAAGATATAGTTCTTAACCCAATAATAAAAGTAGTGAGACTTCAATATATGGGGAGATCGCTCAACATTTACAATGTGAAGGTGTTATGCCACTTACCAAGTAAATATCAGAAATTTTTAAATATCCATTATTCTATTTTCAGGACCACAAAAAATACTATAGTTTCAGCTACCATGTGTTTATCTTGAATGCTTTTCTAATTTTGTCATTTTGGATTAGGTCTTGATGCCATAGACCAGCTACCTTGCATATGGTAAAATCCTGATTATACCTAAACTGAAGATTTTAACTCAAGGTTAACCATAAATCTTTTTATTTGTGTCTAAAGTGAATTATTTATGAAGTATGTTAATATATTTTTCTACCATGATAAGTTCAGCAATATTAAATGTAATTTGGTCTTGGTTAATGTTTTAACCTTTGTTATCATCTGATATTTGTTATTTTTGGATAACAGTATAGGTTAAACATCAAAATTCAAATAAATTGGACTGAGTCTACAGGTTATATGTCAAACATATAACCTAAAGGTTGAATTTTGAAACCAAATTCTTAACAGGATCCTGATGTCTTAAATTAGTAAGAAGAGAAAATTTATGCCAGGTGTAATGGCGCACTCCTATAATCCCAGCACTTGGGAGGCTGAGGCAGGCAGATTGTGACAAGTTCAAAACCAGCCTGGGCTACAAAGTGAGCCTAAGGCCAATCAGAACTGCAAAGCAAGACCCTGTCTTAAAAAAAAAAAAAAAAAGAAAAGAAAGAAAGAAAAAAAAGAGAAAGTATCCCAGATTATTGAGGTTTTACTATCCCCAGTTTATTCTAATGTTATTCCTTTCATTTTAGAGAATCCCCATCATTCTGGGAATAGTTGTATATACCACGCAAAGAATAAAAAACGTTATGACTTTAAAATTTCATTACAGGATATATATAAGTATATATAAGTATACTGCTGACATAAATTATCTGGCCTTTGCTATATTCACTCATACCGTTTGCTGCCAAAATGTGAGAAACTATTGTCTTCTCTTCCTCCTATATATTTTAAAGTGTTAAAAAAAAAGTTGTCTGCTCCTATTACCACATAATTCACCATATCCCTTGCCTACTTTTTTCAGAATCAGCATAAAAAAAACAATACAGTAGGATAAGGTTTGCATATATGTACATGTGTTTTTATTGCAAAACTGGGCACTTTGTAACCTTGTGTAGACTTCTACCTGACTGATTTACTAATTATCTACAATGCTGCCATGGAGATGCGGCTGTTTACTCTCTCCTGCTTTGTCCTATGTGGTGTTTGAGAAATGAAGCCTGTGAATTTCCCTCTGTGATAAGAGCACAGTGAACTCGGAGCTGACCACCTCGTCCCCACCCCGGTTTGTATACACAGTGAATCAGTCTTGTCCATGTCCGCTTCAGTGTTTGCCATTCCACATTTATAGCCGAGCATTTTGTTTTCTGTGGTGAGCAGTGTTCCTTGTCATATGTGACCCTTTCGGCTGACTCTCCAAATGCAGGTCAGCTGCTGCCGCCCAGCAAATAACAGGCAATTTACTGAATCTCTCACCCATCCTTGTAACTCTATCCTTCTTAATGAAATTCTGCAACTGACTGAGTAATTATAAATGTCATCTGTGCAGACACGCGTGGTTAAGAATGACTGCACAATTTTGGACATCCTTTTTTTTATTTTTTATTTTTTGCAAAAGGAGAAAAACAGTCTTATTAATACTGAAACAGACCTCCATGGACATTATTGTACTCTCAGAAAAAAAAAAAAAAACTTCTCCTTGGCTACAGAAATAAAATAGATTTGGTTTACAATGACCAAGGATGTAAATGAAGATGAATTGAGATGGAAAAATTCTGTTTCATAAGTAATCAGTGGCATCTGCCAGAAGTCATTACAGCTACTTTAACTGTGAACACTCACCAGCTAAACTACTCACTTGCCACAACCAAATAACCTCTCTCAAAGTAAATCCAGTACATCTGTACATATAGGTAGATGGAAACAAACAAAATCCTGAAACATAACTTTTGGCTGTTAGAAAAATTAAGGTGACAATAATTATGAAGGACACTGAAATAACCATGAGACTTGGTGAAATGACGGTGGGGGCCAGAATGGTGCAACGAGATATTATTTACAGCTTTTTAAAGATCCAGATATCTCAGACATTAATCATGAGAATAAAGACTGTTGAATATGAAATTAAAGCCAAGCAATAATGTGCCAAAAACAAGGCCGATATACCAGCAAGTGCATCTAACAGGCACACCATTATATAATTGTGGTTTGCTCTGTGAAGACTGACTACAACCCAGAGGATAAAATAAGCAAAGGTATAATTTCTGTTTTCTTGTTGGAAGAAAAAAATGTGTTTAGGAGCTTCGTAAGAAGAAGCAATAGTGGTGAGCATAAGCAGAGACACAGGTAAAATCTCTGCTTTCATGCTAACCAGGAAAGAAGAGAGCCACTAAAACCTTTGCTATCTTAAAAGTCAAGAAAGCTTCAGCAGAAATTTTGTTGAGTAAAGGGGTTAAGCTTATAGTAATTACTCTTCCTGGACGCTAACATATTACAAAGCAATTCACCTAACTCTGCCCAGAGGATTCCCAACCTTGGCTACAAAAAAACAGGCTTCCAACTGTAAAATTATGAAAACTCAAGAAATTGTATCAAAAGGGGCCTCATTGCCTTACAGAAAATGATGCTCCAGGTGGTCATTTCTAAATACCAGTTCTTCATCAAGCATCTTTCTGGGTTCAAGCTCAAAATTAATTGGCTGAAAAATAGTAGAAATTAGAATCCCATATTTTACACTTCAGGGAGAGATACTTACCATCAACCAGTACGATGATAATTATGAGATACAATAGTAATGAAAATGTGTTAGGGAGCGATAATGGAAGAGACTCACATTCTTCTTGTTCTCTTAAATGTGAAGCTGTCATCAATTTGTCTCTGGAGAAAAGTATAACTTACTTTTTTAAACATTGCTGCTAGTATTACTACTCTTTGTTACTTTAAAAATTAAATTCTCTTTTTTAGAAAATAAATGTTAGCACTTAAGCAATTTCTGATTCAAATCATTGCTCTCAATAACATGTTAAAGCTCTATGTAAAGAAAACTATTGAATGAGTAGAAAGTCATCCTTAATGACTTTAGATTTCTTAGTACTTTGGACCGCATTTTTGAGTAAACACTTTTTCTACCTGTCTTAAAATGAAGCAGGTGAATCGGAAGATTACAGTATTATAGACCTACCCTTTAACCCCTGGAGGAGAGAAGAGACCAATTCTTAGTTTAAGGGCATCCAGAGATATGTTTTGAAAGTTGAGAAAGTTCTAGATGGCCTGAAATTCAAGAAAAACATGTACTAGCAATTGTTAAACTTCTAACTGTATTTATCTCTGCTGTACTAAAGTGTGAGCAATATTACGTTGTGCATAATACTGTAGTTGGTTGTGGTATGTCAGTAAATTATGTAAGTGTGTACAGTCTGTGAGTAATCAATTTGCTATTTTTATGTGTAGAAAAATAACATGCTGTATCTCATTTAAAGGCCAATTCCCATCATCCAGTAGGCACATGTACAAAAGTGAATAAAGCCAACAAAAGTGTGCATGTGTATTTGGGAATTTGTCTTTTCATTTTTGAAGGTCATAAGGGTCTGGTTGTCTGTCTTGTCTCTTTTTCATCTGAGAATAGATAACATACTTATCACAAAGGCTGAATATAATAATCAGTACAGTGGCAAATTACTAAATATGCTAGGGCTAATTATCCATGCCATTAGTCACAAGTAAGGTCAGTTCTTTGACCACTGGTATGAATTATATTTCTCACACATTTTCTCTGTGTCCAGTGTGTGAGTAGGATATATATACTATGAGTGTGACTGTGTGCATACCTTGTATGAATTGCCTAAATCCTAAAAGCATTTATAGGAAAGCAAGAAGAAACAGTTGCTCAAAAGCCTCATAAGGGCTAATCAATATGTATTTTCCCTTCCACACATAGAAGTCCATACACAGAGTAAATGAAAATAGCTTATTCCCATATATATGCACAAATAAATGCATTTTATTCAGACTGGTATATTCACTGACAGCTACATCTTTTCAAAACTTTTCTGTTTTACAACTATTAATGTTGGACATGATGCTCCCTATCAACTGGTATTACTCTGTGGTAGAAAATTTTATGTCTTGACTCCAAAAATCTAGTTAGCTTCTTACTGAGACTGGTACCTGTGCAACTTCAAAGTATTAATGCTGTTCTTTAAACACCTAATATTTCATCTGAAAATGACACAGGAGAAAACCAGTGTTACGTTTTGAAGACTCTATTTGGATATTTTTCAGTGCACTTATGTACACAGGCTAATGGAAGACTAATCCCCCCTTTTTGAGATATAGTCCCAGATTTCAAAAGCATGTTTGATCACATAAAGTGGCAAACAATTGCAGGAATTCTTGAGATCAACCAAACTATTTTTACCAACATAAAAAATTAAAATTAAAATAGGATCTGAGCAATTGGGAGTTCTTTAAGAAAGACTCAAATACTAAATTACTATTACTGATAATCAATGACTTTGTGTGGACTAAATTCCAAGGTCAGAATTATTAATCAGCAAGTGTCAACACTGAACAAGAATTTTCATTTTATCATAATTCTAATCAGTTAGCTGATATTGTTAAATTTTTCTCATTTCTTCTCAAAGGAAATGCTCAATTAGAGATCAAAAACCCAGGCTAACCCAGTTTCTAAAACTCAATATAATTTAACCCTGATTCCTTGACTTTGAAAGTTCTGTTAGATGGTTATGAATGAAGATAAATGGAATAGCACAACCACTCTTTTGGTAAAGAATCTGATCGGAAAAGTACAAACATAACCACTTCTAAGTAAAAGGTAAGAAAAACATTTAAATTTAAATATGTCTACATATTTTGGAGAATGAATTTGCTATCTTTATACCTGAGATTAACCAATGATAAGAATACTGCAGTAAAAAACTACAGAAAATATTGATTTTAGCTATAAAAATATGTTTATAGAAGCAAAATACCTAAAATCTTGATGTTTGCCAGTGATTGCTATTATAAAATAAACTTACATAATTTTAGAAGGTGTGTATTAATTTAAATAACATCAAGAAAAATTGAACCTATCAGTACACAATCATTTATGTATGAATACTCAGGTGAGAAAGACCAAAAGTGTAATGTAACATTAAATCACTAAAGAAATAGTAATATTCAAATTGAAAAGTATAACTGTTTCAATATTAGAATCTAAAATTATGTCTCACCATGATGTCTACATATCAAGATCATAAAATGGTTTAAGAAAGTTATCACTCTGCACATATTAGCCAATAAAACTTTATTTCTACAAAAGGAAAGGTCTTATTTATATAAGGATAAAAATTTTGGATTTAAATATAATCCCACCTTAATTGCAGATTTGATTTTTAGTAATATAAAAATTGAACTGATGACTGATTTTTATCTTCAGAAAATTTAGAATATGATTTTTCCATATCTCACTTTCCATAATAAATGCAACACATAATTTTTAAAATTCTCATTTTTGTTGATGTTATTGTTGCTGCTGCTGCTGCGCTGGGGCTTGTTCTTCTAGCCCTGAATGGTTACAGCCTGTGAATTTCCCCCGTGACACATTTCTACTGTGGCGCTGAAAGTATTTACAATGAAAAAGGTTTCTCCTTTACTTAATAGAATTCCCACAGCGGTGCCTTGAGACCCCCGGGGCAGTAGTTTATCCTGTTCTCAGTGGCATGAAGAAATGTGTGTGCTCTGTGTGTGTGTGTGTGTCTGTGTGTATATGTGCACCCTTGTGTGTGTGTTTTTATTTGGTGAATGACAGGTGGGGCACAGCACCTGGACCGCTCCCAGGCTATGCCTCCTTGCTGTGCGCTTTGCCCAAGGCCGTTCAGGTGTCTGCCCTGCTGTTCCAGCCTCTCTGTCTGCTCATGGCTAAGGAAATGAGGGTCTTGCCATCTATATGCATAGAAGAGCAGAGGAAGTCCAACCATGCTCTTTATACTGATCTAACAATTAAGAAAACTAATACTATGCTTTGATCCCCCTTTGCTTCCTTGAATCTGTCTTCACATCATGAAAGAACTATAGAGAAGAGTGTCAGGTATAGAAACCCAAAATCTAAAAACAAAGACAGATTTAGAAGCTGGGCTTCATAGCACAGGCCTGTGATTCTAGCACTAAAGGAAGAATCAGAAGAATCCTAAGTTTGAGTGTCACATCGGGATTTTGGCAAGACCTTGTCTCAAAATAAAATAATTTAAAAAGCTAATGATTTGGCTGGATACAAAGGCCCTGGATTGAATTTCCAGTAACAACATGAAACAGTTAATGCTCCAAACATGCAAGAGCCATATTCTCCCTCCAGCTAATGCACATAAGGAGCCAATTTCAACCTTAAATGGTGCGCTGAGGCTGCCTTTACTTAACTCTACTCTTAGACCCTCACTCTTGGAAAAATTGAAAGGTTAAGTGCCGTATGTTTCCCTAGATCTAAATGTTGCTTGTGGAGAAACTGATCAGCAGTGGTTCTCCAGACGCAGAGATAGGCTCCTCTCTGCCTACATCTGGCCCCACTGCACCACCAGGGGTCACCTCCTCAGGTGCATTTCTCACACCTGTTCTCAGGAATTCACATCTTGAGTGTAGTGTAGTGCACAAAAGAACACCCTTTTCAGTATAGTTTGGCTTCACTTGACTGTGAGCTCAAAATCCCTGTTTCATAAAAAGTTACCCTTTAAAATCCTACTAGAATTGCTTTCAGCCTACCATGAGGTCTTATTTCCGTTGGACTGCTGTAGCAAACACCATAAATAGGGTGGCTTTTAAACAATGTAAATTTATTTCTCACAGTTGTGCAGGCTAGGAAGAATCTGCCTTTGGCTCATCTGCTGTGTCCTCATATGGTGGAGGGGTGAGACTATCATAAGGCCTCTTTTGTAAGGGCACTAATCCCACCCAGGAGACTCTGCTGTCCTAATGTAATTATTTCCCAATGGCTCCGCCTCTTTATACCATCAGTTTTGGGTGGACACCAATATCCTCACCATAGCACACACATTCTTACTGAACTCATGTATGCTAACATTATTCAGTTTTTTCAACCCCATTCTAAACTACCAGTGAGATAATTCAGAGTTATAAAAACTTTAACCCTAATGACTATATTAACCATGTTCTGTAGCCAGTTTTTCTATATATAGCATGAAGGACTAACATAGTTAAAATTCACACTGTCAGGATGGAAGCTGAAAGTGCTTGCAGAAATTTCTGGTGGGAGTATTGGCATCTCAGGAATGATAATTCTCTATACAGTTTTAGCCCCTCTTGACACTTCTCAATCAAACTCCATAATAAGTATGGCCTAATATTAAAAAAAAAAACTAAGCAAAATGTCATTGCTAAAGATATCACAGATGTTTAAAAGCAAGACTTAATAAAGGACTGAAAAGGTACTTTCCTGTTATCAGTCTTCTTTTTACCTAGAGTGAAAACAAAATATATAATGGCTATATGTCCATCATTCTAATGGGCATTTGTACATACACCTGACCTTGCATGATACTGTGTATAAATGCACATCACCTTTCAGTCTGTTTATTTTTTGATGGCAGATACATGAGACATGTAAGTTAGGTCATTTAAGAGATGTAGTGGCACATACCAGTGCTGGATTTAAAAGACCCAGAGTTCAAATCTCAGCTTTGAATCAAGCTGCATTGTTTGGCTAAATTATTCGGTCTTTTTAAAGTTCAGTACATTCATTTGCAAATTGAGGGTAGCAATACTTGCTTTGCAAAATCTTAGGAATTAAAATACAGAGGCAAAACAAGTGTCACTTCCTTCTACTCCTACGTCTTCATTGCTGGAACATTATCGTTCTAAGTATGGAATTTTGCTCTTTTCTTTTGTCTAGCAAACTTTTTATAAATTTGGACAAATATCAAGGATGCGTTTAAATATGACTTTGAGATATCAAGATTTGTCCATAAAAATATTTCCCCTCTTTGTTTAAAACACAAAGGCAATCCACTCAAGTATTTATAGTTATCATATCTATAAGAAATAGCAAAAGATTTTGATTAACATTATCACATTAAATATGATTTTTAAAATGTAATGTTAAATACTAATAAAATATTACCAAATTTATTTATTTGTTTGTTTGTTTATGGTACCAGGAATCAAACTCAGGACCTCCCATTTGCCAGGCAAGCACTTACCACTGAGCTAAACCCCTGGCCAAAATATTACCAATTTTTAAAAAGGAGGGAAAAGAAGGTATGAAATTGATAAATTTAACTACATTAAAATTTAAGACATAGATATGACAAAAGATTCCATATGCAAATTAAGGCAAAAGTCACGTAACTGACAGAATATTAGAATCTAGAAAATAGGAAGAACACCTACAAATCAGTTTTTAAAGATGAGCAATACAACAGAGAGAGTAGTCAAACTGTATAAGTGAGCATCATAAATGTATGAAAACATGTTCAACCTTAAAGAAGAAATCCCTAGTCTGCATCTCCATGATGCTGGAGGAGACCTTCTACATTC